CAGCATCACCAGCAGTCATCATGATAATCATGTCCACGCATCTTCTGCATCTCAAATCGGGTCTAACGGGACACTTGAAACGTATATAAAAAAGATAAGGACGATGACGAAGAAGATGATGATGATGAGCACCGTGATGATGATGCTGATTATGATGATGATGATGAACTGACATGATAATCATCATGACGCATCCTCAGCATCACCAGCAGTCATCATGATAATCATGCCCGCGCATCTTCTGCATCTCAAATCGGGTCTAACGGGACACTTGAAACGTATATAAAAAAAGATAAGGACGATGACGAAGAAGATGATGATGATGAGCACCGTGATGATGATGATGATGATGATGAACTGACATGATAATCATCATGACGCATCCTCAGCATCACCACAGCTTCTGCATCTCAAAATCGGGTCTAACGGGACACTTGAAACGTATATAAAAAAAGATAAGGACGATGACGAAGAAGATGATGATGAACACCAACTGACATGATATTCATCATGACGCTGATGATGATGATGATGATGATGAACTGACATGATAATCATCATGACGCATCCTCAGCATCACCAGCAGTCATCATGATAATCATGTCCACGCATCTTCTGCATCTCAAATCGGGTCTAACGGGACACTTGAAACGTATATAAAAAAGATAAGGACGATGACGAAGAAGATGATGATGACGAACACCAACTGACATGATAATCATCATGACGCATCCTCAGCATCACCAGCAGTCATCATGATAATCATGTCCGAGCATCTTCTGCATCTCAAATCGGGTCTAACGGGACACTTGAAACGTATATTAAAAAAAGATAAGGACAATGACGAAGAAGATGATGATGATAAGCACCGTGATGATGCTGATGATGATGATGATGATGACTGACATGATAATCATCATGACGCATCCTCAGCATCACCAGCAGTCATCATGATAATCATGTCCACGCATCTTCTGCATCTCAAATCGGGTCTAACGGGACACTTGAAACGTATATAACAAAGATAAGGACGATGACGAAGAAGATGATGATGATGAGCACCGTGATGATGATGCTGATGATGATGATGAACTGACATGATAATCATCATGACGCATCCTCAGCATCACCAGCAGTCATCATGATAACCATGTCCGCGCATCTTCTGCATCTCAAATCGGGTCTAACGGGACACTTGAAACGTATATAAAAAAGATAAGGACGATGACGAAGCTGATGATGATGAGCACCGTGATGATGATGATGATGATGATGATGAACTGACATGATAATCATCATGACGCATCCTCAGCATCACCAGCAGTCATCATGATAATCATGTCCGCGCATCTTCTGCATCTCAAATCGGGTCTAACGGGACACTTGAAGCGTATATAAAAAAGATAAGGACGATGACGAAGAAGATGATGATGATAAGCACCGTGATGATGCTGATGATGATGATGATGACCCCCATTCTCATCATGGTCGTCGTCATCTCTTATCAGGCAGCATTGGTGATGCAGAGGATGCTGCGATGATCGTTATCACCACAGCCGTTAGTGATGCTAAGGATGCTACGATGATAGTTATCATCCTTGTCATCATCTTTATCATCATCTGATCATCACCTAGCATCATCTTATATCATGACAAGGATGATAACTATCATCGTAGCATCCTTAGCATCACTAACGGCTGTGGTGATAACGATCATCGCAGCATCCTTTGCATCACCAATGCTGCCTAATGAGAGATGACGACGACCATGATGAGAATGGGGGCGTGAGGATCGTTATCATCCGCGTCATGACAACTATCATCACAACATCCTCTGCATCAGTACTTGTTCCTTGATAACTATCATCATCGCATCCTTTGCGTTGCCAAGGATGTCTAACGTCCCTTTTGGTTTCTATATATAGTAAGATATGAGATGATGCTAGGTGATGGTCAGATGATGATAAAGATGATGACAAGGGTGATAACTATCATCGTAGCATCCTTAGCATCACTAACGGCTGTGCTGATAACGATCCTCGCAGCATCCTCTGCATCACCAATGCTGCCTGATAAGAGATGACGACAACCATGATGATAATGATGATAAGGATAAGAGAATAAGAAAGAGATGATGATAAGGATGATGATGATCACGATGACCGTGACGATAACATTTATCGTAGCTGCAGCTGCTGATGCTGATGAGGATGAAACTTTGGATAAACTTATGCGCCAACTACCCTTCCCGTGCGCCTCCCCTTTTTAGAGAAAGGGTCGGCGGATACCACGATTTCTCTTCCGGGTGTACAACTCGTCGCTAAATCCCACGGGGCCCGATGCACGTCGAATGGATTCATCCATGGGAGATACATGGGTACACTTCCTAAGGAGTTACCTTTTGCCGTTGCCCTAAGAATGGATTGATGGATCATGCATGGGTAACGTTTTCCGAAGCTGCTGGGTTCAGAAGCCTTTCGCTCTCCAAACAGCGGCTGGCCGAGGTTCCAAGGCTGGTTGCTGGCGGGGGCCTCTGACGGAGCGCGTCTTTGCCCGTCTGGTGGACCGGGGGTTGCGACGGGTCAAAACGGGCTTCGCTCAAAGGCGACCGGGCGTGGGTTGATCACGCGCCATGGGTTTATGCAACCACTTCTGTACTTTTGGGAATCCCCTCTTTATATGTGTTAGTCTTTGGGAGGCCCATTGGGCTGTATCATACACTGTATCACAGAAATGGTCAGCTCCCGCAGCCCTGCTCAAAGGCGTCCCGGAAGACTTAAGTCGTTTCCCCACAGGGGTTCCCTTCAAAACAGGGCCAACACTTCCCAGTGCTCAGCAGGGAATGAGGGAATGTACCCTATAAACCATCCAGCTGGTGGTTTCCTTTTTTGGGAATGCCCAGGTTCATTCCATTTCTCATTCCCTACCTATCGCACCAGCAAAAAAACGGAATTGCCACGAGAAGACGGTCCCCAAGCACCGAGGCCCATACCTTGCAAGTCACTGTTACCGTTCCAGGGATCCACCGGCATTCTCCTCACTTCAGGCAGCGGCCGAGCACAAGAGGGAAGAGCTGCATCACGCGGCCGCCAGGCGAAGTTCGTGTCTTCTTCTTTTCCCCCCCTTCTTGCGCGCAGTGATTTGTGTGCTTTTTCATTTTATGGTACCGGGTGAAAGGATCTATGAGGGTTCTTTCCTCGGGCATGGTTAGGTTTGGGAACTATGGTAGCATTGCCATGAAGGAAGGGGCCTGGTGACCCGGGCTTTGGAATGGTCACCCCTGGGGTTTGGGGCTTCTAGTGAGGGATCCATGACCATAGCTTCTCCACACCTGCCATGGTCCAAAGAGAAACCCCTTGCTTGGGGCTGGCCGGGATGGTCATGCACCCATCAGCTGGGAAGTTAGACAGCCACAAGGGTTCCTACTGTGATGGACAAAATTCGCGGCAGTCGGGATGGACAAGCACCCTCACAAAGGGATTTGTTTGCGACCGAATCTTCACGATTTGTCGGTTCCTTTTCTTGCATTTCCTCACAGGATTGTCCATATCTTCAAGATGTGAGCAAAGGGGTTCCTCACTTCACCCTGAACTGAAAGGACTTGAGGGAATTCACTCACCAAATTGCCACCAAAAAGACGGACGTTGCTTACCAACTTTCCTTGTCAGTTGAGGGAAGCGTTGATCATGTCCGCGCTATTTTTTTGTCGTCCAGTTCTGGGGGTGTTCAAATTCAGAAGCCGGTGCCCTTAATTGGTGTTCGAAGTTAGGGGATGGTTTCCCATTCGCACTCTACAAGAACCAGGGGTTCGAGTCCCCAAACCACCAAACCAAACCACAAATGGGGGGGGAAGCTGAATTTTGAAGACGACCGTGAGCTGTTGATACCCATTCGCCAGGCGCGGGCAAGAGCAGGAGGCGACGCGGCTCAAGATAGAGGCGCGATGCAGCGATCGCTGGCATTGATTCGCCCAACATCACAAAGGCAGATCGTACTCAGGGGACCTTAAACGGATTCTAATACACGGGTTCCAGCTTGCACAGGACAAACCTGTGTGTCGCATCCTAGATCCCACTTAGGGCGAACACAACCCTGCGATCTCACTGATCAGCCTTGATGAAGTTTCTTTCAACTTCCCTTGGGCCATCCTCAAATTTGGCCTTTGCTTTTTAGTAGATTATACATATGTATATATATAGACATTCCTGGCAAGGATTAGCGTAACTGACATGAGCTTTGACGCCTTATTGGACCCATGAGGCGGGCTTCCGGGGCTTTTCTCCAAGCAAACTGGCCATTGAGGCCAGTTCACTGGACTCTATTTTTTTCCCCAGAAGTACTTCCCCTTTTTTTTTTTTTTTTTTTTACATTTTTTGCTCTTTTTGGGGCTCCCTTTCTTTTTCACCAACCAGGCAAGAACTTCCTTTTTTTTTGCAGGGGTCCTAATTCCAGGCAAGTAGTTTGACGTCGACCTGGCCCACCTGGAGGCCTTTTGCTGTCCGACAGATCACATCCCCAGACGCATCTCCAAAAGTTTTGAGACCGATGTTCACATGAAAAAACATTTCACGGAGTAGCAGGCCGCCAGAAGTGACCCGGATCTTTAGTGAAATCTATGCGAGACAAAAAATGTCCAAGAGAGTTGTGGAAGGGCATGTAAGGAACATGAGAGGGCGTATTTTCACCTTTGGGTGTTCTCGCTCCAGCCATTCGGCATGACCTGCCCCCCCCCCCTCCCTTCAAGACGACATTCGCATTGCCAGGGTGCTTGGGGAACCAACGGGAAACCGAAACCCTTCTGAGAATTCCTTTAGGTCTCGGTTCGGTAAGGCAAATATTTGGATACGGGCACCGTAAAAAGACAAACACATAAAAAAAGAATAATCAACAAGTACACGCTCCCTTCCAACCCGCGAATTCAGAAACCAACTCCTTTGGGCGTCGCCTCGGAATCCATTTGGGTCGCTTCCGGCCAGGGCAGCCGCCTCTTGCGTCACGGCATGGCGTGCTCGGAGATCGACAGCCGGCGGCCAAGCCAGAAAGCCCGCACTCGGGCTTTGAATACATGGGCTCCAGCTTGCGCCCAAAGCAAGCATGGCCCTCCTTTTGCTTAACATTATCTATGGTCCTAATTAACTACCCTTGCAACCATGGTCCAACAAAAGACTTTTTTTTAGGACTCTGGCGGCCATTGCAAGGGTTCCGTTTTGGAGGCAGGGACAACGTAGCCCACACGTCATAGTCAAAAGGCCCTTTTGCTTCGGATTGCTCGTGATGCTAGACAACTGATGCAAAGGTTCCTAGTAAGGGAGCATGAGGAGTTGCGACCATGGCACAATGTTGCAAAGGGTACATATGGGGGTGGCTCCAAATTAAACAGCTGGGGGTACGCAGGTTTTCGTCTTCTTTTCCATTTACCAGGGTTCCAGTTTGGAGTCTAGGGAAGGGCCCTAGTGGACACTCAAACGGGTGTGGCTCAAAATCAAAGTGCTAGGGTTTCGCAGTTTTAGTCTTTGGCCAAGGTGTCATTTTGGTACATTTACTTGAGGGCCCAAAAAAAAAGCACGGGGAAGAAGGATACCCACTCATTTACCCTGGCCTTGCAGTTTTTTGGGCATCCACCATCCCGTGGTCATCAACTCCTTAGGGGACTTAGATCACCATTTGTTCAGGGTTCCACTTTGCGAGGGAGGATTGACGGCATGGCTCGCATAGGAGTTATGGCCTTGGCACAAATATGCTGCCGGTTGTCGTTCCTTCCTAAGGCTGTAAGTCATGGTCTTACTTTTGGCAAACAGCCCCAACAAACCGGAGGCGTTTGGCTCCTGTGCTTCCTCCGCGCTTGGGCCGAGCTTCCGCAGGAAGCTCAGCGCCTTTTTTGGTCTGGGGCGTGTGGAGAGGGGGAGACAGGGGCGTGTGTCTCTTTTTGGGGGACCCCAAAATGGTTGGTTTCCGTTTTGGATTCAGGTTGGTTTCCTTTTTGGTTTCAACCAACAAGGGCACGTGTCAAAGCAAGGAGACATCCAACTGTGTGTTTTGAAGGGAGCCCGTCTCAGGAAGTGAGGGTTTCTCCAAAAGTCGGCGCAGAATTGCAGGTCTTCTTTTGGCTTCCTTCCCCACATTTTCCAAAGGAACTTGTAGCACGGAATGTGCAGGTGTCCACCCCCACAAGCGGTAACTCTCGGTCGCCTGAGGGTTGGGGGGAACGCCCAGAGACTTCAAAGTGACCTCGACACATAGCACTATCTGCAAAACACCGTGGTTTGTGCGTGTGCTTTTTTGAGGGTGCCCTTTTCAGGTTGGTTTCAAGGGAAACCAACAGGACAACCACTTGACAGGCACATTTTGGTTTGTCTCTAAATATGGCTGGACATGGTTCGGTATCCAGCTCCAAATTCATGATGTTTTTCAGAGCATCCTTGTTGGGGTTAAGTGAAAGGACAGCCGTCATGTTGGTTGCAGGTGTTATTTTGAGACACACTCAGTTGTTTGCGGCTGGAGACATTTGCTGGCATGCCTCAAACTAACGTGTAACACAGCGCCTGTTGAATGCCCCAGTCTGGTTCTGAATGAGTCATTTCATGCGCGTGCACACAGCTTAGAAAGAGCTTAGCTCAATGCAAAACCGTTTGGCAAGCTATTTTTAGGGGCTGACAGATTTCCGTCAGGTTTCGCACTCATGTTCAATGCCACGCACATGCCAGAGAACATAGCAACCAGCTCAAGCGAGTTGATATCCCGTTGTTGGGATAGAATAGTGGGTGCACCACTTTCCCTCCCATCTATCAGAACATGTAACCCGGAGGGTCCCAGAAAAAGAGGAGCATGGTCCAGGGCTGTTCGGGTTGGGAAGAATGGGAACCCCGGTCTTTCAGCAGAACATCGCCCAAGACCCTGAAAAAGAAGGTCTTTGACCTCCAAAGACCTTGAATCGTAAGGTCTTGGACTCGAAAAATCCCCCTGAAAGCATCGGATGGCTTGTGAGGCAGCGGGTCAGCAGCTGTTCAGTTGCAGACTCGTTGATTTGGCTGTGGCTCAAAAATAGGTACCCCAAATGGAACCCTGGCAAGTGGAAACATGGACCAAAACCTGTGGTCCCCTGGAGGTTTCATTTTGACCCATATTTTGGGGTCTGTTTTCTTTTCGTGGGTGACCCCTTGAGGGAACACCCCAGCGACGTACTCCAGATCCGGGGGGTTCTGTTCGCTTCGAATCGGAGGCTCCTGGCGAAGGCAGAGGCGGGTTCCTCGGGTTTGGTGGTTTGGGTCTGACGGCAAAAGGCGGTGGTCCGATCCCAGGGAGAGTCCTTCGAGCCGTTCCCAGGGAGATTAACCTCAAAACGTGGTGGGCTTGTGGGTATGTCAAAAACTGTCGAGGTGTACGTATTTGTTTTTGATACCCTGGGGGGAATGGGGGGGTTATTTGATGGGAGATTCAAAGGACACCGCCGATGGCAAATGGGGGTTTACTGGGTTTAGAAGCGTTTACAACCAGCCAGAAGCCCAGAAGCTTCGATGGGTCTGGAGAGATGAACTGTGGCGCGTTAAGGGGAAGAACAGTGCGCATAGTACGGGTCCAGTACTCCCCATACCGGTGGGCCCTCGAAGCCTCCGAACAACCCACCTAACCGGGTTTTGATTGTGGCTCACCTGGGGTCTTGCTCAATCAAGCAGTTGCAAGTTGCTTCACGCAAGGGAGATCAGATGAAGGTTAGTCACAGGCCCCAACCAGAAATAGGCCTTTCGGATATCACCTGGTTTTGGGTAGACCATTAAAATAATTCCAGGTTTGATTGTTACTCAGGATCTTCGTCTTTGACCCACGCGAAGTGGCATAGATGTTATGCACATAGGTCTGTATCCCGGTTCCCGGAGGGCCCTAGTAGCCCCCCCCCCTGAAACACTTTTTCCCACGTAAACCCCAAGAACCGACCAAGCAGTTGGGGGGCGGTAAGGTTCCTTCTGGTTCTTCTCTGGAGGTGGGGGCCGAAAGTTCCAGGGAGCCTTGAAGCCGATGGGTCGGTGCAGGGGAAACGTCTTTTCTTTTTGTTGCCATTGCCAGGCGTCATTTTGGGGCACGCCATGTAGCCGAAGGGAGGGGCCGCTTCCAGTCCGCCCTGGGCTTCGTTGTTTGCCCATCCGGGCCCATCAGCCCATGTTCCTTCCCCGGCACGACCTCTGGACACGGAGGGTGATCCTCCTATCGACCTTCTGCTCGTTCGAGCGGAGGGAGAAAGCCACCTGCTTTTTGTCAACGCGTTTGTTTTCTTCGCGAGTTCGTTTGTTTTTTGCGTAAGAACGCCTTAAGCGCGTTGACCAATCTTGGGGACATAAGTCACATGCAAGACAATGTCCACATGGTCCATTTCGGAGGGACTCGCCGCCGACCGTTTACCATCCAGGGGGCTCGCTACATTTCCCATGTGGTCGGTAAAATTTGACTCCTCATCTAGCAGGCTTCCAGCTCCAACGCGGGCCAAAAGGAAGCTCCCATATTCAATGTGATGTGAAGTCTCAGACCACCTCTGAAAAGGCACATGTAGGCAGGTGCTATCAGGTTTTTGCTTCTGGGCATGAATGGATTTGAGTGCGGTGATTTTAGATCCGGGGCCAAAGCATATGAATGACATATAGGTTGCAGACACCTACATCGCAAGTGTGAGCCTTTTGCAGTGGCAGGATGGGTTCGGCATCATTTGAACAAAGTGCTTCAAGTGTATTGTCTATTTGGTGGGGGTGAATTCTAAACAATTATTTTACTTGCGAACCCAAGAGGATGCTCTTTCTGAGAAGCCACCCGCCGAGGCAGGGCTTGGATTGCTTTTTGACGGCTTCCATCCCCTTTTCTGCGTTTACAGTAGCAGCGCCAAAACCCAGGGCTTTGTGTGTTTACATTTGTGGCTCGTAGCTTTAGCTAGGAATTCGAGAATCGACTTCGGATCCAACATGGTTCGCAAAACCCCCAGGTGCATCCACGCATCCACGTCAGCCCATGGCGTCTTGATTACAACGGGCATGTGTCACATGTGTCATTGTGCAGTTGGCATGCCGCAGAGAAGGCGAATTTGTTGGTTCCATTTCAAACCAGGCCGCGCCCAATTGGCACAGCCACATATGCTTCCTTCATGCACATCATTCCCAGCCAACTCCAGTAACGGCCTGAACTCTACAAGCCCCAGCACCACAGCCCCCAACGCTTCAGCACCTCCAAGCACTTGCCAGCAACCTCGCGAACGTCAAGCTTGTTGTTGACATCTTTATCATTTCTGGTCAAGAGTCCCGGAAAGCAACTCTTTTGCCACTCGGAACAAGCAACCAACCAACCATCCCAGAAGCTCCGGAGCGAAAGTGGGTATCATTCAGATTTGGGGGTTCCAACTCCACTGCGTGTGTGTTCAAATGAGGGATCCTTCAATGATAGGTGTTTCCCGTTTCACCCCACAAGGGGCACCGAGCCTCAAAAGAAGACGCCCATATCTTCACTCTTCCTGGCAGGTTTTTGTTCTCTTCAATTTTCTAGCAGGTTGCCGCAACCGAACCGGGGATTTCCGCCACCCCCCCCAGTTTCTGCAGATCCCTGGCCCCCCGTCGCCCCCGGGACCTCGAGCCGTTGGGACCGGCACGGCTGCTGGGACCGCCATGGCCGTGGCGAGCGCCCGGAAGTGGCGGCCCAAGAAGCCCCGGGCCTTCGAGCCGCCGCCGGTGCCCTGCGGCCACTGCATGCTGCACCTGCGCATGGCGGTGACCAAGACCGGCATCGAGGCCAGCAGAGAGAAGAGTTCCTCCCGGCCCTTTTCGTGTCGCCCGGATTGAATGTGGTGCGGTTCTGTTGAAGGTTGTTTTTAGTGGTTTTCCTTTGGTCCGGTTTGCCACTCTTTTTTTTTGGTGGTGTCTTTTCTGGGTTTTAGCGGTTTGCCGCTGGTGTTGGGGGAATCCGTTCCTCCCGGCCCTTTACGTGCGGTCCGGTTTGCCGCCATAGGTGTCCTTTTTAGGCGAGTTTGATTAGATATAGATGGGTTCCGCTGGTCTAGGTGGGGTTTCTTCCATTTACCAGGGCCATCGATTTTTCCAAAGGCCGCCTATGCTTGCCACTCTTTGGTGTTGTTTGGTGTGTGGGTTTTAGCGGTTTTCCGCTGGTTTGGGGGGAGTACGTCGGAGAGTTCCCAGCCTTTTCGTTTGGTCCGGTTTGAACTTGTGTGTGTGTGTATATGTTGTTTTTGTTTTTTTCCCGGAGGTGGTTTTTAGTGGTTTTCCCCTGGTTTGGGGAGGGGGGGCCATGAACCCGATTTTTTTTCGGGGTCCCCCCCTCGAAGATGGCGCAAAGGTGTAGTTTGGTTCCCTGGAAAAACGCCACAACAAGGCGTACCAACTCAAAAAAACAAGATGCACCAGACATAAATCCATGAAACTTGAATGTGTTTGGAGATGTGTGGTGGGTTTTTGGTTGAAGGTGGCATTTTGTGGTTGAAAGTTGAGAGGAGTTTAGAAGGTGAGGAGTTCGCAAAGTTCACAGACCAGCCGGTGTTGTTGGTTGGCGTTCCTTTACCAAGGGCATTTCTGAAATCTTCTTGCCGCAGTCGAAAACAATCCTTTTCTGCCTTCAAGTCCATTTTATGTTTTAGGGCAGACATGGCAGTGTGAGTATGAGACAGCACCTGAACATCGTATTTTCTGTGGATTACGTTTCGATGGGGAACCACCTCCAAAGTGGATGGTGGACATGATTAAATGATGTCCACCCAGGGGCCCATTGGGGTGTTGTTAGTCGCCCTTTTCGGGTTGAAGGCTGAGGAGCGTTGTTTCTGGCAAATTACTCAGCGGTTCAAGGCCGACCTTTTAACCTTTGGGTTTTCCCATGTTGGTCCACATTTGGTACAGATCCCAAGAGGCTAACCTTTTATTTGCAGGTCCTCTGGGCAAGTGAGATGATATGCCTCCAAATCGGGGACCAACACAAGAACGCGTTGTTTCCTTTTGGTTTCGAATTCGATCTCGCAAGCAGGTACCTGGACCGTTTTGGAAGGTGCTGTTTGGGTTTCTTTCCCAGGTTGAGTGGTGCTCTGTTCAGAAGGTCCGCGGAGGTGGGGAGGTGTTCAGATACGCCTTAAGTGGTTTGGGATAACCGCTGGTTCTTGTGGGCAAATGGAAAGCTAATTACCCGTCCTCCAAACCAATCTAAACCATGCAGGGCCAATCTGAGTTTTGTTTCTTTTGTTGAAGGCAGCCCTTGTTTTGCTCGGACAAGGGAGGCTATAGGAGGGGCACACCAATTCGGAGAAGCCTTTTCCGGTGTTTTTTTCTTTGAAGGATCCCTTTACAATCAATGAAGAACGGAAAGGGTGATTTTTAAAGTAATATGAAATACAAGGGTGAACATAGTTAAAATGGGGTCGTGGGCACACTACGTCATGAATTCATGATCATAAGTGAATGTAAGAGAATAACTGCGTGTAATTACTTCGCCCCTTTCCCTCCCAAATGCCGAGGTGCTATCAAGCAACATTTGTTTAAAGGATGCCCTGGTTGGGTGTGTCTCAAACACACCGTCGTCGTTGTTTTTCTTTTCCTTGAACTAGGCGAGGATTGGGTCCCCATTGTTACAGTTTTGGCATTGCAGTGCTTTGTGCACCAATTTGGGTCTATTTCGAAATTGAAACCATAGGAACCCGTTGAAGGGTCGCAAGCTGGCTTTGGGCAAGGGAGTCCATCCCAACCAAGACATCAAGTCCTCCCCCGCCAGCGTGATAATAGCCTTGTAAACCAGGATGCATAAGACCCGAATTGACCACTGCGGGTGTCTTGTTTAGCCATTCCACTCAGGAAGTAAGTTTATGAAACGCAAAACAAAAGACACTACACCACCTCAATGATTCTCTCATGATGCCATTCCACAAACACGTGGCACTTCTACAGTTGGGTGAACTTAGTGACATGGCCAACAATGGCCATCAAGAGTCACGCCCTTCTGGGATCATAGAGGCAGGCCTCAAGGGGGAAAAAAAGCACCAAGCCCCAGGACACTCCAGCCAAAACGTTTTAGCTTATCCGGACCAACAAAACTTCGGAGAGTTCTAGGCAGAGACCCCGGGCTTCAGCGATTTTTTCGGAGTTCAGAGACCCCTTGCTTGTCATGCTTTTAAAGGGAAGCCAAAAGAAAAAGCTTGACATCCATCCTGGTGAGGTATGTTTGTTTGTTTCTTTTTTTGAGGGCTAAAACCACTGTTTTGCGTGGCTTTCAC